TGCTGAACTTAAACATTTAGTGTTCCTACTGATTGGTAAGGGCCTTTTGCTTTACACACAGCTTTAGAATTTCGGGGTATTTTTGCTCTAAACTTCCGTACTTCGTGCAATAGTGTTTTAGCTATGACTCACTGTGTACTGAGTATTTCCAAAATCAATATATATCTGTAATGCCCTTAATTCAAACCTGAAGGGATCAGTCTTCACCTGTAACACTTCATTCAAACCCAATGGATTGGTGGGGAAGGGAGAGGGACGAGAGAAATGTTAAAAAAAGTCACATTTATATTTAATTTGTTCCCAGATAATTGGGTTCCTAAGATCATAGGCTACAGAGGGGAAAAAAAAACCCAAACACCACAAACAGCTGAGTCCACGTTTAACAAAAGCCAGAACTTAGAGCTGAGTTAAACATTAAACTGACTGATCTCGAGCACAAAGAACTGCTTATGGTGATAATGCCCACATCGTGTCCTTCACTTGATTTTATTAACTCAAATAATGAAGCTGCTTCCAAAGATATTCATGCTGTGTGAAATCACTGCAAAGTTCTAAAAGCCCATACTCATATATACAGTAAGGCAGTCTGTCTTTGGTTGTAGTGGATCCAATATTTCATATTGCAAGACTTCGGGGGATTTTTGTGGATTTTTTTTTTTATTATTATTTTTTTTTAAATCAGGTGACTCTTCAGGTTATTTTCATGTGAATATTCAAGTGTGACTTTGTAACCTGTTTGCTGAAAACACCTGAGGAACATTTGAAATTCATGTGCAGGGGCAGGCATATATGAATGGAAAGTTTCTCAGCAGTGTTTTCCTAGTTCTTTTATTATTGTTTCCCCAGCATTTACCTGCTTTTGAACATTTGAAAACATGATGTGCTTTGAAACATTTGTGATGTGTCTGGAAATAGCAGCCATTGTACACTTAGATGTTTTTTCACTTGTTTGTATGGAAAAGGAAAAGAAACATCAGGAATCGTATTTGTGCAGTTCATTACAAAGACTTGCAACAAACAGGTTTTGAAAACATCCTGGCAAGTTTCCATAGTTAGCTTAATATATGCCATAAAAATGAGCAGCATAAAGAACTACTACAATAAGCCTGACTAATACTGCATCCATAAAAATGCTTGTAAATATAAAGTCCAGTCAGTTTTAAAAAAAGAGAAGCATGTTATGCATGTTGCAAAATAATGTGATTTAATAAAGGTAATAACCTTTAATAATAATTAATAATAAAGGATAATCAACGGTTTATTATATCTGTATTTTCCTGCAAATGGCTTTCCTAATCAACTAGTGGAATAAAATAATATGCCACACCCTTAGTATACCCCAGACACAAATGTTTTCTCTGTACTGGTATGTGTTATTGATGCATTTAATGGAACATTTTATAATGAGCATAAAAACTCTGCTTTCAGTTCTGTTACCAAGCACAGACATTGACTTCAGCACAAAGTAGGATATTTTGCCAGAGGGAGTTTCTTGATGGGTTATGGGAGTCAGTGAATCAAAGAGTGGGTGTTGGAGGCTGTTTCAAGTTGTATCCTTTACTAGGAGGATTTGTTAGAGGAGTTTGCAACTTCTTTGGTGCAGTTCTGCTTATTTACCGGGTATGAATATCAGGTCTAGTGTTCCTGGATGCAGTACGAAACAGCTGCCAAACAGTGGTGTTGCAATACCAGCCGTGCTTTCTCCGTTATTTGACTTAAAAATCAATCCTCATTTGCTCTCAAGGTCTTGCTGGTGCTGTAATTTCAGGCTCTGCCAGGAGGGGTCTGCTCTGCCTCTCTTCTGTGTTGTATTAGCTCTAGGGCTGATCCAAGCATTTGCTTGATGATCTGCATCATGGCAACGATCCAAACTGGAACTGATGCGTCAAAGTGTAATCTTATATTTACTGGAAGTCCTTCTGTGATAGACATGGGCATTCATCACAGCCCTCCCATGAAAAGAAACTCGGTTATTGTGGTTGATAAGTTGATGGTCAGCGAAATCACAGTGATGGTGAAGGGGGGTGAGGGGACCCTTGCACTTGTGAAGTGGTTTTCAACCTGTTTCCTGACCTGTCTCGACTTGTAGATAAGCAATCTAGAACCGTGTGGCAGAAAAACAGGAGAAGTCTATCCTAGTTCCTTGAGGTTGTTGCACCTTTAAAAATGTCTTCCTGTTACGGAAAATGTTTTCTTGTAAAAGGAGTGAAGGAAAACAATGTCTGGTTTGTGCGAAGTGTGAAGGGTTTTGTTTTTTCCTTTTATTTTTTTTTCAATCAGCTAGGGAAATCAGTTGTGTACTTGGTGTTTATTTCAGTGAGCTGTTTTTCAGCTCTGGTTTTTTTCACGGAGGTGTTCCAGCACCTTTTTCTGTTCAAGTCTGTGACGCTGTTGGGACAGGAAATGCACATCCCCCTGTTCTGAAGATGAAAATAGGGGATATGTGATGGGGACATCTGTTTCAGATTTTGAGTGATTTGTTCATTGCTGCTAGCAGGAGTGTTTTACAGGTTTTTAAAAATTACAAATGAAGCCTTTTTTAACCGAAATCGCTCTAGTCAAAAAATATCTGTTCTTCATTTTATCATGTTAACATGGAATCAGCAAGTGCAAAAGGAGCTTGAAATTACAATCTTCATATTATATCCAGGTTCCTCTGTCCCATGTGGCAAATATTTGAGTTTTCAATTGGGCATCCCATGAAGGAGAAGGACATCAGCCTTTTAATTTTCAATGCAATGCTAAAGATGCTTCAGAAATAGTAGCCGTGGTTATACTTGCTGATATTAGTCAGTCAGTGATTTAAAGGGTCTGCATTTGTTGCATGATGATATTGGGGATTGCATAGCTCAGTAGTGAGGTGGTAGAAAAGGAATGGCTTTAAACCCATGTTTTGTTTCAGCCATGCTTTGTTAGCAGACAAAATCTGATTTTAGTGAGCATCATTTCCATCTGCCTCCTTAAGGCTGGGGATAGGAAGCTTCCTAGCCCAGGGATCACAACCCCAAGGGCTAGAGCCCCTCTCATTGTCCCCTTTTCTTCCCATCTATCAGTAGATGTGAAGGTAAAGAGTAGTGCTGGGCAATGCACAGGGAGAGCTTCTGGGCTTTTGGAGGCTGAATACTTGGTGCAGACATTTCCCTCCAAGTGAGTGGTTCAGTCACTTGTGTGAGGCATTTGTCATGAATACAGTGCTTTAATTTAACAAACAGACAAACAAACACCCCACTCCTCGGTGGTTTCTCAGAACTGTGGAGGACTGGCTCTAGAGAGCCCATCAACTCTACTCCTGCTTACTGGTAGACTGAATTGGGGTGAGTGTATCATGTGCTAGACACTCTTGAGAGAAGGGGTGAATCTTGAGATTCCTCTGGTTAGTTAAAGGTAAAATCCTGATATTTAGTTGGGTTTACTTGATTTCTTCAGAATATAAATAGATAGCATTAAAAAGGTCTTATCTTAAATGTTGTTCTATACAAAGGTCAGGAAATGTTATTTCATTCACAAGCAGAAATTCCTAATCAAGTACTTTTCCTGCTTTTGGTTACTTAGCATGAAAAGATTTATAAGTTTTCTGGTGATCTTGGATAAGCTGTTCTAGCATGTGGTGAGCAGTACTGATTGCAAATTCAAGAGAGATTTTGACTGCTTTGATTGTTTGGTTATCAGATCATATATTTTAAAATAAATCATCAGTTAGAAGTTTACATAAGAGATTAAAATCCATTTAATAGGCCTATTAACTTGTGAGATAGTTTCTTAGAATTGCTTGATTTTTAAGACCTTTAAAGGTTTGAGGGGTAATATAGGAAAGGAGTTTCCTCAAAATGAGATTGCTCTATGCTAACAGCTATCAGAAGTGGTTTGTGGAAAGAATCTAAAGTTTCTAAACAGATATAGAGGAAATGACAAAGGGAACATGCAAATAAATACTTGGGTGGAAACTGAAATCCCTTCTACACACTTGTTACTGCCATAGAATATTCAGTTGAGCACCTGATGCTCCATCCAAGCTGTAACCTGTTCTGGAGCTTCCTGTTGTCTTTTGGAAGCTTTGATGTCAGATTTCTGAATAAAAGGAGCCATAAAAAAATAAGCTGCATACTTGATCTGCACAATGCCTCGAATTTTAATGCTGTTGACTTGATTCAAAGAGCAAAGGAAGCAGTGGTCTTAAATCAGCCTCTCTGAGAGGAACAAAGAAATCCCAGTTTTCAGTTTAGTGTTATGACTTAAAATTCGTTTTTGTTTCTCTTTCTCCTAACAGATTTATACGGATTGGGCTAATCACTATCTGGCAAAATCTGGTCACAAGAGACTGATAAAGGATCTACAGCAAGATGTGACTGATGGAGTCTTGTTAGCTGAAATAATACAGGTTGTAGGTGAGTGACTTTCTTTTTTTTGTCCCAGGTATCCACCAACTTGCTCAGAAATTCACTATTTATCTTCTACATAAACACAGGGGTGGAAAATCCCATCAAACTGCATGGAATTATGCAGAAAATTTTCCTTCAGAGATTTGCTAATTAATTTGATGAAGCCATGTCTCAAAGCATAGTGGAAAACTATTATGTTGCTGGTAAGATCTCCTTATACAGCAAGATTGCTCCACACAACTGAATGTTAAAAAATCAAGTGATGAGGAAGGTTTTTTGGCTAGAATGCTATGAGCCTTCACTGTCTCTGTTTCTGATACCTGTGGGGGATTGGTCTGGACATAATTCACAGTGATACTGGCCTCCTGTGCTGAACATCCTCCCTCCAGTTGGATTTAGAAGATCCATATGTGCAGCTAGGAGAGGAAAAGGTATAAATTGTATGTGGCAGACAAAGAAACCTTTCATAATGCATTCCTAAATGAGGAAAAACGTTTGTCATTAGGGCAAATCTCAGATATAGGGCCAGTTCTACAAAGCCTTTAGTTCCCTCGGTTTGCACTAATATTTGTAAATAATGAAGGTTCTAAATAATTTTCCCCATTGGCCCCATGTGAAGTTACATATTTTCCCTCTTCCCTCGGGCCTGGATCCTTCATTAGTTCCTTCGGAGGCTCATCCATCTGGTACTTGGGATGCCACAAAACACATGCATGGACCAGTGGAGATTGATGGAATCGGGAAAGGCTGCTAATGGGAATTGGGACAACTATTGTCAGAAGCAAATCGACAGTTTTGACATGCAAATTAAGGAGACAGTAGTGAAGTAACAAGACATCAGTACATGCATATTTATATGTGCTTGAGATGGTGTAAATGAGCTCATGCTTTGATTTAAGGTACAAATCTGCAAGCCCTGTTCTCCAGTGAAATTGCAACGCATCCTTTCCAATAGCTTCACTAGAGCTGCCCTGAAATAAATACATCAAAAGAGATTTTGTTTCTGTGTTGTAGAGCAACAGTAGATCTCAGTAGCATCCTACAGACCCACCATGCTGCTACGGATGTATAAAAACAGGCCAGGAATGGATTGTGTGTTGATGGGTATTCACTGTGGGCAATGCTTCATCCTGAATTTGTTACCTATAAAAGAGAAGATGTTTGGAAGCCCAGGAGCAGTGAGGGGTTGATTCCTTTGGTACATCCCTAGCTCCTTTGTGTTAATGCTCATGTAGAAAAAGTCTCCTTGAGGACACATGTAAGAATACCCACCATCAAACTGTGAACTCAGTTGTACCAAGTGTTTAAGTGGAGCTGCTTGAGTACTGACGTGTGACAACTCATATGTAACTCAAATTACTCCCTCTAAGATACACAGAAATAATCTTGCTTACTGGTTTTGCTTTGATTCCCCTTTTTATGTTTTTCAGCCATTCTCAGAGCTGCCTTTTGGCTAGTATTTAAGTTTAGGTCTGCAAGCTTTCAAAAGTTCACATGCAACATGAAGGAGGTCGTTTTCAGATAGTGTTTTCCATGTGAAAGAAAGTTCATATTTAAACATTCTCAGTTTAATCCTCCAAACTAACAGTGAAGAATAAGTCATTTGTATCTGCTGTGGATGGCCCTGGGCACACTGCATCTCACTGTCACAAAGATGGTGATAACTTTCACACCTAGAAACAGCTTTAACTGGAGCCTGCCAAATTCAAGCTTTTACAAGACCGTGCACTAAGAAAGCATCCTGCAGTGCAGGAGAAGCTTCTCTTCTTTATGTTATGGTGTGCTCTGGTTAAAAGCAAGCATGAAGATCCTTCCTCCTTTTTGTCATGTGCCTGGGGTATCTGGAGATTTCCCAAAGCCATCAAAATTTATTCAGGTTTAATTATTAATGATACAATTTTTCTTGTGTTCCCCATCTGAGATTTACATCACAGATGTTGAATCTTGAAATACTACTGAATATCTAAAGCTGGAAAGAGAATGACTGTGATTTTTTTAAAAACTGAAATGAAGACTCCGTAAGAGTTGATGATTATGCAGAGACAGTGATCCAGATCCCTTCTGCTTACCTTTCTTGGCTGAAATAGCTGCATATTTAAACAGAAAATTTTAAAATTAATAGCAACTAGGTAGTTCTTCTACCTTACCATCCAAACAAGGAGCAAATCTAAAGAGACATGAAACAAAACATCACTGTATTTGACTTCAGAAGAGATAATCTTCAGACTTCAAAACTGCTAGTGATAATGCAGAAGCATTTTATTATGACAGGTTTTTTTTTTCTATTTGCAAGTCAATTAAAATGCATTCATAGCAGTCTGGTTTATTTCAGTTGAAAATTTATGAGTCTGTAAAAGAATATGTACATAATGCTTGCTTTAGTAATGCCATATAAGCACAGAAGCTATATTTAAATTCATGAATTCAGATAGTGGCTCTGTGTATGCTCTGGAATTGGTAGTATATTGAATTGTCAGTTGGTTTCCTGTGAGAACCTTTAATTTTCAAGACTTAGGATCAATGCTAAAATAGGATGTTTTGTGGAGTATTTTAATTGATTGGATACAACCAAAGTGACATCAGATACAAAAGCTGTGGCTTTATAAATAGGGATGCAGACATTATGTTATTGTTAAATACTTAGCTGAATAAAAGTTCCAATAAGAAATACAATGTGCACATCAGTGTTGTGCTGGGCAATTAATACACCATTGTAGGAGCTGATGGGCATGTTATAGTGACAGAAAAAGGTAAGGTGGCTTTTCATCTTCACTTGCCATTAATCTTCCCATGTTACAGCAGGGGGTATTTGTTAGTTTAATGGGGTTAAGCTTTAGTGTACAGCCCTAGAACCAAGCTTGCCCTCCAAGCCTGTAGCAATGGCCACAAATTGTAGAAGTGCTGAGTAAATATTTTGTGTCTATGTTTGCTTAGTTAAAAAAACACTTCAGTCAAGTGCTGTGTGGTAGCTGAATCTTTGAAACAAGTTAGTAACAGGCAGTTTCAAGTAGGTGAGTCTAGATAGTTTGCATACAAGAGCTTGAAAGGAGCCAAGTAATATGCTTGATGGTTTGATACCATTGGTTTTAAATACTTTGTGTAACATTTTGGAAGTTCTAGCAGACTAGGGAAGAACATACTATTTTTTAGGGAAGATAAAATTATTTGGGTTGTTAGAAGTAACTCTGTACATGTGTCCCAGACAAGGGAAAACTCATTCAGAAATTCATTAGTCTCCTTTCAAGTAATAATTATATACCATGTGAGTTTATAGGAACACAGCTATCAGTTTTTTCATGTATTATAAATTTAATTGATAGAGATACTGCATGACACTAAACTGAGATATAGTAAATATTAAAAGATGGATGCATAGGATTTGTAAATGGGATTTAAAGTAATATTATTAATTTCTGTATAACCAAATCTGAGGTTGCATTCCTGAAAGAAATGTGTGGTCTTTGTGTGTAAATGCTGATAGACCACTCTGAGGAACAGTAGAGCGGCTTCAGCTGCAGCCTTTTTCAGAATAGCCTCAATTCTTCAGTGTATCACTGTGGCATGAAGGTCTGCTGTGACACTTAGATGTGTAAAGAGTATCGGGCAAGAGTGACATTGTTACTTCTTTGTTTAACGTTGTTATGACTCCTCTTGGAATACTGTGCCAAATTTGATACTCCTAACTGAAGGTGGAAAATACAGCTTTTTATATAAGAATCAATGGGCAGCGAATCTGCGTGATTCATCAGATGGGATCTGAGTGCCTACCTTTATGAGAGTGAAAAAGCTGTGGGAAAACTAAAATGAACTATGATTATAATTAGTTCTGCAGCCTAGCACAGAAGTCATTTCAGGGCCAAGACTGAAATGTGAGTCTGAGCTAACTAAGACTCTAAGGCAAACATTTAACCACCTCAACACCATTATTTTGCTTGGGACTTCAAAGACTGAAGCTGTATCTTTTTCTGCAAGTTACAGTGCATGGAAGCCATGGAAGCTGGAAAAGTAGGCTTGTGGTTTGTGCTATATGAAATGAATAATTAAAAAAAAAATAATTGTTAATCATAAATTACCTATCTAGATTTAAAATAGACTCACTTTACAAGCAAATCAACTGACATGCAAGCATCTATAGCTGTGTAGCGTTCGGTTTTCCACCCAGCAGTGATTCAATTTCCAGAGTTTGTGTCTTTTTTTGTAGTTTAAAGGAGTCACCCGTCACTGTACAAGATGTTGTCAGACCAGTTGTTTTCTGCTCCCAGCTGTCTCTGGAGGCATGACCCACTAGAAAACACTCAGCTGCTTTTTTTTTTTTTTTTTTTGATGAGTCTCAGTGTTTCACACATGCACTTTGACTTGACAACTACAATCTGAGACCCCTTTATTTAGCCAGCAGCAAGTGCTCTAGTGGAATAGTTGGAAGCAAGTGGACTAGTTGGAATAAACATCCTTGGGACAGTGTTTTGCTTTATTTCCTCTTTTTTGCTTTTCAGCAAATGAGAAGATTGAAGACATCAATGGCTGCCCAAAAAATAGGTCTCAAATGGTAAGTAGTAAAGCAGTCTGTTGTTTCTGGATACCTGGCTGGATATTGAGTGAGAGTGAGTGACTTCAGTGTTTGAGACTTTTAATCACTATTTTTAATTAGTGAGAGCGAAGGTATGATCTGGAGAATATTAATATTACAGTGCTTTGCCTGTTGTACTTCAGAATAGTTGAATTAGGCCTTATCATTTATCACATAATTACAATCAATGTTACTCCTACATTGGTATTTTGTGCTTCTGAAATATCACATCGTTAGTCAGGAATACAGAAACATAAAAGTTGTTCCTGTATATAGGCAGTAGTACTGCAAAACCAGAATTAGATATTTATTTTAAAGTTGGATTAAAAGTCCTTGTATCCTTTGAAAAGAAACAAAATTAATTAGTAATACACAATAAATGAAAAAATTTCAAACTGCAAACTTCATGAAGGTTTACCTGTGCTGCTTGGTTTTGACTGGGAAGTTTTAATTTGTAAAAGAGGTTGTTTTGTATCTTGTTTGTACATACTGCTTAAAACTGAAGAACCAAAAATTAGTGCAGTAACATTAAAAGCACCTTCAGAGTATGTCTGCTGTGAGTACTGGTGAAGCTAAAATTATAAGCAGAACTGTGCTGAGGATGCAAATAATACGTTTTCAAAATGCATCCTAAGTGTTTAAAACTTATGATCTTTTAAAGAAAGTTATTTTCTTCTGTATCTTGAGAAAAAACCCCTTATTTTACAATATAAGTTCCAAAATGTCCCCTTTGCATTGCAGATGCTCCCTGTGGGGTGTGTGCCTACCTGTTCCTTGTCTAAAGCTATTTTAATGTTCTTCATTTTCATTATTCTGTTTCCAACTGCCCCAACCTAAAGGAAAGATTAAAGATTTGTTGAGAGTTTGCCATCTTAAGGCAGAAACCACACTGTTTTCTGCTATTCTGTTTTGGTTTCATGTTGTTTCTTGGAAGTTACCAACCCTACTGAAACCCACAGAGCAAAGGCTCCCTAAAAAGAAAAACATCTAAAAAGATTGATCATTGCTACTTTTTACTGCTTTGAAGAGGTAGGTTGCTATTCTTGCTGTAGCCACAGCAGCTGTCTGGGTTATAAATAATTGAGGAAATTTTGACAATTACTATAATTTAATGTTCCACAAGTGTATGGTAAGAACTGAATTTTATTCAGGACTGGAATCTATAATGAATTCCAGGACATCGTAGCTTAAAGTCATGTTAAGTCATTCTTCTCAGGGAAGAGCATCATTGTTCTGTTGGGTGGTTGGATGCACACTGCAGGGTGCTTGGAGATGTCAGGTCTGGTTATGTGCAGAGGGCATGTGCTGCATCAGGAGTTAGGAAGAATGCTGGAAAGTTTGCTCTGTGCTGCCTCCTCTGAGGTTCCCATGATATTCTGGCTGCTTGTCCAGGAGCAGGCTATGCTTTTATTAAGTGTACATGCTTATAGAGCTCTTCATCATCTTACAGGAGAGGTACTAGGGCAAGAACATCAATATCCTCACAGAGGCTGGGTTCACACAAGTGCTTGTAGTGTTCAAGGGGACAGCTCTCCTCCAGGTCTCCTGCATTCAGCAAAAATGCATATGTTGCAATGCTTTTGGATTTTGTTGTTGATTATTGTGTTTTTTTTAAGCTACAGTGGTCTTCATCCTTTGCAGTTTAATGCACTTCCCAGTTAATGTAGCTTACAACCATTCTCCAGAGTGTGCGAGCTGGTGTTTGTGTCTAGTGCTTCTGGTTCAGAGAGGTGGCAGAGGCAAAGCTACCTAGTCAGTTCAAGCACTCAACTAGGTGATGTCTTATTTTTTCAAATTAACCTTTAGTTTCCAGATGTCCATACCTATATTGTGATGTCTCTAAGGTAGGCATCTCAGATGACGAGATTTAGGAAAAAAAAATTTAAAAGGCACCATAAATGAAGATCTAATTTTGCTCCCAGGGAAGTGGTTGAGTCACCGTCCCTGGAGCTGTTTAAAAGATGTGTATATGTGGAGCCTGGGGACACGGTCAGTGGTAGACTTACAGTGTGCTACAGGAAAAGTTGGACTAGGTGATCTTAAAGGTCTTTTTCAATCAAAATGATTCCATGATTAAATATAAATACAACAGAGTTTAAAGAGAAGTCCTCTACCATCGCCTTTCCCCTTGTGGCAGTTATCTCATTTGGAGACTCAAGATTCCCTGAGCAGAGACACATGTGAGCTGAATGGTGAAGAACCAGCTCAGATCCAGCCAGATGTGTCAGTTTAGAAAGCTGGACCAAATCTATGCCTTCCAAGCCCATTAAAGGGGGTGTGAAAGCAATTATGTTGGCTTCCATGGGGCACAGTCCTAAGATAGCAAAACCTGCCAAACCTTAGAGAGCTCAACACGGAGCCAGATCAGGTCCCTGCATTGCTGTTGTTCCTATTGCTACAGTGTTGGAGAGCATCATACAAATTTGCCCAAATTGAGCCTTAGAGACAGCTTGGGCTGTCAGGCTTAAAGCCAGTGCTAATAATAAGCCTTGTCAAATGAAGGTTAGTACTGAAGAACCATTTGAGACCATCAGGGCTTATCAACCTAGTCCAAATGCCAGAAATGACATGACAAGGACCCCCACTGCCTCCATGAAAAATCACTTTGGTGAGAACCTGTCCCTCCTCATCATCTTGTCTGGGTTTCTCTGCTGTGGGGAGTATCCCTGTCTTCCTTTGCTCCCAGATAAGTTGGCTGGCTTCTATATAATCTATTGTAGACTAGTCTATATCTTGTCCTCTGCGTAAGACCTATTTCAGGGATTTTTTTTCCCCAAACCTCTATGTTTTTGTACTGTAGATATTCTGTTAAACAAAAGCCTGCAATTGTGCTGATGAGTTCCAGCTGGCAAGCAGAAAATCCTGTGGTTAACAGAGGATGTAGTAGTATGGAGCGTGGGCTCTGGGGCCAAGAAGATTCAAAGACTGTCACCACAACTGCATTTGGGTTTTTAGAATGAAGCACAAGAAAATATTGGCATGGTTCTTGGTAACTGAGTGAAGGAGAGTAAAACATGACCAGTTTAATGTCTTAGATGCTTCTGAAAAAAGTCTGAGATCAATAAGCCTGAGGAGGGCTATCTCTGTTATTATTTTATATATATGTACATATTTTTAAAAGGGCGTGTATATACACATATGTGTGTGTATATCCATATATATCTATTTTAGAAGATATCTAAAAATATGGACCTCTTGCTTTTCTCCCCTTCTTTACTTTCCTTCCCTTTGTTGCTTTCTGTCCCTCTCAGTTTGGGGATGATATTAGAGCTCAGGATTTGGCATCCTGCAGAATCTGGGCTTTAGAATAGTGTAGAATATTCTTATTGATGTAGGTGTCTTTGTGAGTGCTGAATATTACCTATTGTAAAAAGGGTTCGTGTCACTTGTATTTGCAAAATGATAATGTAAACAAACAAAAATAGTGTATGTAAGTGAGTTAAATGCAGATATCAAGTGCATTGGCAGCCTGTAGAAAACTTGTTCTATAGGGGCTGTGTTCTGTGGAGAAATACATGGTGTAAAACGGTCACAGATTTTGAAAGAAGTTTCACGGCAACATTTTGGCACATTTGGGCAGCTGAGCATTTTATGATCTTGTGAATTCATACATCCTTTTTGCACAGCACAACAAGGAGGGACAGAGAAGGATGTTGTTCTGTTACCAGTTGCATGCAAATAAAAAAACATAACAGACAAGATAATGATAAAGATTAGATGATATAAGAAAAAGGCAAAGAACAAGGTGTTTGGAAGATCAGAGCATTAATGTGGAGAGCAAGGGGAAGGAAAGAGAAGAATCCTTATCAGCTGGAGAAGCAGTGACTGGGGAGCTAGCTGAGTAAAGGAAGTTAATTTTGAAAACATGGATTCGAAGACAAAGGAGAGAGGAGATATTTGCCAACAAAAGGGTGTGTTGGTGGACATAGATGATGGTTGAAACACAACTGAAAATGGGATTTGTAGAAGGGATAGAAGAAGTAGCAGCACTGTGTTTTATAGGAGAAGTGGAGGGGTTTTGCCACTTTGAATGTAAAGGTAAGAAATACTGAATGTGGCAGTGGAAAGAGATAAAGTGTTTCTCTAGGTACATTTAAGAAAAAGTGTGAGAAGAAACTAATGAGAATTTTTTTTTTATTTTTTTTTTTGCAAGGCTCAGTAAGTTAAAAAAAATAAAAATCACAGATTATAGTACACTAGAAAGAATTTAACTGTTAGGTGTGAAAGTCTGAGGAGTGATACTGTGTTAGCCCTGCTAGTGAAGCCTGAGTGAAGAGCAGGCAGTGGCAAAGCTGTCAGTGCTGGAGGGAAGAGGATGGGAGAAGCTGGAGGTGGGTAAACCAGACTCTCATCTACCCACACTAAGCCTGGGGAAGTTGTGGGACACCCAAGACAAGAATTTGGAGCAAGAGAAAGGAACTCAGGCTGAACCAACACCACAGTTCCCTCCTATAAATAGAGTAGGAAATAACTGTGGTTCTCCTGTGGGTTTGTGGCTGGGTTTTATTAGTTTCAAGGATGATCACTTGTGTATGTAAGTACCTGTGTTAACAAATAACAAAGAGGAGGTATTCATTTTTGTCATCTGTAGACCAGAAGGTTTTCAAGAATCATCCCTTTCTGATGCAGACATCAAGCTGTACTAGGAAGATAATACTGTTCAGTCTTGCTACTACTGTTTGTCTTGCAAATGTAAAGAATCTTGTAGTGCAACATGGGTCAGAGCCTGGATTTCTTCCCAAGCGATTTATGGAAGTCAATCTGAAAGCTATGTTTTCAATATGTTCCCTTTGTTTGCAAGGAAACCTTACTCCAGTGAGGGTAATTTTACTATTACTTTAATATTTGACTTATTTCTTGTTAAGTGAAGAGGAGCTCTTCTGTAACATATGGGTCACTCAAAGTCAAAGAACAGTTTGTGTGAAAATTCTCCAGCCTGGCAGGGACCCTGGCCTTGAAGTGAGCAGTACTGGGAGCTT